TGTGTGAGTTAGTGTGTATGTGAATAATGGAGGTTCTGAACTCTCTTTACATATTTGTAAATGTTCCCAATATAATTCTGATGTATATGATAACCATATAATAAAAGTATTCTGGATAGAAGCATGGAATGTTTTGTTAACTGAAACCAGTTTTCTTTTCTTTCTATACTTTGGGAATGTGGGGCGAGCAGCACTAGAGGACATTATGTATTGAATCATAATTGCAGCACTTTGTTCAGATTAACAGAACAGAAATATGGAGCTGTTTGCCAGTAAAACTGATGGTTTCAATTAAACATGTATCTCCAAGAATCTTTTTTCTTAAGATGTCACTATCATGCAGGCTGACTATTTAAACAAGCAGCTTAAACACAAACTGCAAGATTGATCTCGCCAGCTTTGTTTCCTGATGAATCTGACTTTATTGTCTCCTATGACAAATATTTGCAAAGTCCCGGGGTGTGAGATCTGATGGTTCTCTCATCTGGTTTCAGCCCAATTTTGCTGATTTGAGGAAGTTTACGGCATTTTGTAGAAAGTCTGCAGTATGCCCTGTGTGGTAATGGGGAGACAGGATTTGAGGCTTTTGGTGGCATTTAGTGCCTTGGATGTAAAATAGACAAACAAACCCCCCTAAGGGGAAAAGGTGGGTTGCTTCTTTTTTTTTTTTTTTTTTTCTGGTGCTTTCTGAAAAAGCAAGACCATGAACCTGGGCTTCAGCTTGTCCTTGGCATTTGAGTACCAGCTCTGTCGGGTGTGTAGTTAGGGCAAACATTAGGAATGGTGATGCTGGACAATAACTGCAAGTAAGAATTTGGTTCAGGTTGTGGCAGTCTGTTTCTTTTGCAGACATGGAGAAGAGGCAATATGTGCGATTTCTGAGGACTTGGTTGAGAAATTCTTTTTATGTTCTTTTTTCCTTTGAAGGATAAAGGCAAACTACTGAAGGTGCACAGGGGGAAGAAAGGGAAGCTTAAATGAATGAATACATCGGTGGTGAGCAAGGAGAAAGCTAGTTTTTTTGAGCTGCAATCCAGTCCCCTTCTCTCCTAAAGAGCTGTGAAATTCCAGTCTTTGCATTTGTTAGGCTCTTTGTAGCGTTTGAGAAACAAGCACTTTGGACCATCTGTAGACACAGGTGTAGCCAGGACATGCGATGTCTAACAGAACTTCTAAAGTATGAGTTACACTGTTCTGCTGATATCTTTTTATTGATTATACATATATATACTCTATATACGTAAATATATATAGCATACATACATAGAAGTATGCTAGGTATGGGAAGAGCTTGTTTAGAGAATATGATGCTAGAGTTTTGTTTTTTGTTGGTGTTGTTTTCCTGTTTCTGCTGCTGTGCTGCTTATACAGAATATATAGTAAGATATTTTAGCTACCAGACAATGGAATCTTGCTTTTTATTAACGCATAAAACCAGGCTCTGAAATAATTGCCCCTTGGGTTAGGAAATAAGGATGTTTCCATTTATTCCTGCGTGCATTCAAGCAAAGCCAGTCAATTGTCTAATGTACTGACTCAGGTTCTATTTATATGTTTGGAACATTAGAAATGTTGAGTTTCCATTACCTTAATACTTTTCCTCTACTGTATATTTTAGATGGTACGTTATTTTGAGGCTCGACTACCTTGTAAGCTGTGTCAGTAATATGAAACAAGAACAATGTCTTCTGCTCCATTCACTGAAGAGAACAGTAAAACTCTGACCTAAACTTGTCTGTCATCTGAGATTATTAATCTTAAAGAAAGTGTTGCTAGGTTAGTAACTTCATGGGAAATCTAAAATGCACAAAGTTATCAGAACACACAATTTGCTTTTTCCTGATGCTCAAATTTTCATTCTTTTCACAGCTTTTCCATAGGCTATTCCTGGGCTGGCTTGAAAGTTCTAAAGTCAGAGTCCTGAAGTTCCATTTTTAATTTCCTTTAGAAGTGGAATATCCACATGACTGTCCAATCTTGTCCTTTGTCCTTCTCCCAGAAAAGTAATGGGTATGCTCTTTATATGACGGAAAATTACTTGAAGCTATGAGGATTTAAAAGTAAAAATTCTGCATTTGAAATGGGCCATTCTAAGTATTGCCCCCTGCTAAGATGTTATTTAATACATTTGCACAAAATAGTTGAATTCATGTCACTCATTATAAAAATGGAAGAAGAAAATATGTTGACTGTCTCTTGCCTGGCCATCGGAGGATGCCAGGGTCTGCCCCTGGCACTGCTTGGGACCATGGCAGGCAGGAATGCTGCTTCCTTTCACCCATGGCAGCTAAGGGCAAGGCCTTTGGAATCCTGTCACCTGACAGGCAACCTGATGGGTACAAATTATTAATGGCAAAGCTGATGATTATTCAAGACCCTGGCTCATGCAAACATCTGACTTCACAGCAGTGTTGCTTTCAGTTTAAAAATAGGTTTTTCCCAGTGTTTGCAACTTCAGAGACAAAATAATGCAAAACTAGTAAATTATAAGAAAACAAGGAAAAAGAACGAGCTTCTTAATAACTGATTTCAGTGAACTTCACCTTCGACTCTAGTTTTTGCTTTGCTCTTTGTTCATTTCATTGTTATTTACAAACAGCTCGTCTCCCCTTGCGTCTTGGCTGCAACCTGACTGGTATCTGTTCCTCTGCTCCCTCAGACTTTTGCAGTATGAATAAACCCAGCAATGCATCTTGAAATGGGTCAAGCCTGCTGTGATAGGCTGCTGTGCTTATTAGTTGTGTCCCTTCTCTATTTTATATTTCCCCATATGAGAGATTTAGATGTATCCTTGTAGTTATTTCGGCCTTGGTAATGCGCTTGGGGTGCCTTCTGGAACATGTTCTGCAATGAGAGATTCATTATTTATTACTAAGAAAAAAAGAAATAGGGTGCTGTTAAGACTTTTTTCTTCCAAAACTCACTAAAAGTACATAAAATCATAGAATACTTAAGGTTGGAAAAGACCTTAAGATCAATGAAGTTAGAACATGAGGTTAGGGACAAAGATGCTTCCCTCTCACAAAAAGTAAGTTTTGAAGCATAATATGCTTCTGTTCATTGACATTTGCAGATTTGTATGGGGAACCTAAAGCCTGTTTGCTAAGCACTCTGGGGTTCTGTTGGGACGATGGCCCAGGCCTGGTGGTGGTGAGCCACAGGATGAATATGGAATCGTCCAACTGAGAATGGTTTCAACCCCAGGGTTGTTGTCTCACAGCCAGAGATAACCATGTCCTTCAAAATCTGTGTTTTCCAAACCCGTTGTGGTCTGTCATGATGCTTCTACAGTGCCTGGCTATTGCTGCTGCCTGTTGCCTAATCACATTGTCCAAGTAGCTGCATGGATGACCGGCTCTGTCCAAATCACACAGGGCCTGCAGTGAAACTGTATTTCTAACAAATTGTTATATTCTGTTGTGCATTATTTGCTGCCTTCTCCCACTTTCATTTTCACTTTCTCAGGGTTATATAAGCTTTCCTGGTTTCAGATGCCATTTTGCATTCATTGGATATTGTCTAATGTCTTACAAGGATGGTCCAGCTGGTTTACATGTGCCATTGTTGTGTAATGGCTGGCTACAACTATTGCACTTTTCCTCTCTTTTGGCTAAACAGCCCTTTTTAACTGGTTCTTGTGAAGGCTTTGCTTACAGGCTACTACTGTTTCATGACATGTTCCCTGAATATTCCATTTAATCTACGGTTTTACCCACAATTTAGAATTGAAAACATGTAACCACACAGTCACTTGCTGTCTCTGCCACAAAACCCAGACATTTATTCATGAATATAGCAGAAATTTCACTCTGACCCACGAAAAAAATAGCAGAAGTGATCTTTTAGGTGAGTTTTAGAGTTTATATTTCCAAGGTTAATCAGCATAAAACTAAGGGAAAAGTAGTTTCAGAGAACCTCAAAGAGTGTTCTTCAGCTGATTACTGCAATTAAGAATCATTTCTAGTTAATTGAAAGAGTTCTTCAGTAACAACAGAAAGTGGTCTAAAATGATGCCAGCTCCCTTGTTATAAAACACAGATGCTAAAGCATAATTTGATTGCAGCCCTCTTACAGGACAGTGCCCATGTGGGAGCCGGGGTCTCATCCTATTCTTCCCCTTTTGCACCACATCAGCTCCATGGAGAAAGACAAATCCCAAACCATGTGAACAGTGCAGGTTTGGGGGCATAGTGAGTGTAATGCATCACTTTTTGCCTTTGTAAGGTAGTAAGATGCCCTTCAGGTTATGTCAGGCTGTTGCACCTCTGCTTATTGCTGGAAGACCACAGACCTGAAGAAGCTACAAGGGCTGAAAGAAAAGACCTGTAGCTATGTGGTGCAGCCCGACAGGATGATACTGAAGCTGAGCTGAGTGCTGGACTGCGAGCTGGAGCAGCTGGGATTGAAGTACATGTGTTTTTGGCTCTGCCAGAGAAACAGTAATTAACCTCCAGGAGAGGGGTAGGGCATGTACCTGGGACCAGTAATTTTCTTCAGCTCTTGCAGCAAAATTTACCTGAGCTCATTTGTCAAGCTTTGAATCCTTAAATCTATAACTCTAATTAATTAAGAATCTCTAATTACCCCAAAATGGTGCTCCGTATTTAAGGCTAGGGTGTGGTGAAACCCAGAGAAAACACAAGAGAAGCTGGAGGATGTTCAGAGCTGGAGATGCCAGGAAACCATTCAGAGATCATGGTGCATGTACGTGCAAAGGAAGCTGGATGGCTTAATGTGTCAGTGAGACCTAGCACAGGTCCTAAACTGCCAGAAGCCACTGTCTGGTATTTGGACGTCTATCCTCACGTGTCCTAAAAAGCAATGACCACCAAACCTCTTAGCAGGGGGTTCTTCAATCGGAGACCTAAAGCCGAGTGACCTTTGGCATTTAAGCCCAGATCTGAGTATTTTCTATATTCAGAAGCACATTAGACAAGGCTGTGATTCTTTGTAACCTCAAACAAGAAACCCCAGTGGGGACAGTATTGGAAACATCAGTGCAGATGGATTCTGGCTCTCTCATAAGATGAAAAAGCTCTTTCACAGTTGAGGTCTTATTAAGTTAAAAATATATACCTTTTTACTAGGCTGTAACCAGTTAATGTGACTCAGACAAAGATGTAATGTGAAGAGAGGCATTACTTAGAGCTACCATTTTTGCCTTACTGCAGAGGTTCCTCTTTTCCAGGCCTCACACGCGAGTTCCTAGAAGCCACAGCTGAAGCACATTTAAGAATTAGTCTATGAGCTCATTTGATGAAGTTAAGGGGGATCAGCTGGGGTTTGGGCTGATTGGCTTCAGCAGTGCAGCACACAGAGGTTTGAACCACTTCTTTCTGAGCAGTTCTGGGCTGTGGCTCCTTCCCTAGGACTTGCCAGCACCATCTCTTCAGCAAAGGTAAGGTTTCTTCTTCCTGATAACGGCGTGTACAGTGACTGCAGACAGGGTACATCTGCATGTGGATGAGGTCGTTGTGAAAATGTTAAAGAAGGAGAAAAATTATGCATGCTTCTATGTAAAGAGTAGGGTCACCCCTTAAGAGCCTCAAGTACTGTTTTCTAGTTCCAATGGTAGGGAATCTTTGTATTGTCTGGTAAATAAAAGCCTGTACTTAGTGGCTTTGTTTGGTGAAAGATAAAAAGTTGATAAGATCCTGGTAAGGCTGTTCTGAGGAACTCCTATCAGCTTCCCTGTGGAGAGTGTTTCCAGGGATTCACTCCAGAAAAACTGCTAGACTGGGGGAAGGATTCAGAGTCATCAGTGATCTTTGTTAAGGTTTGAAGTAAAAGTGATTTCTGCCTGGTACTCTTCAGGTCTTGTGTGATTGTGGTGTCGAAAAGCAACAGAAGTGTAGCCAAGATCAATCCTTTTTTCGTTTTTGCTGTGTGGTATTCAAGGCAGTGAATTGCATCAGAAAGGGAAAATGAGAATGAGTCGCTAGGTGCTAGCTAAAAGGGTGAGAGAAATGTATTAAGTCAATTATGGGATTTCCTTTCCATTCATTTTTCCCAGGTAACTCAAGACGTGGAGGGGGGGGAAGCTCTACTTTCCTCTATGATCAGGTGTTTGCATTGCTTCAGATAGCAACCGTATGGGTCGGTCAGGGTCGATGTTCTCCTTTGCTGCTGTCTTGGAAACACTGATGTTTTCACTCCCCTTGGAAACGCTTTGCCCTTTGAGCCGCCGGATGCAGGGATGCTCTGAACCCCGTGCACATGAGGCCCTGGGCTCGCTGCGGAGGGTGGGTCATGCCCGGCACCCGTGGGTGCTGACTCACAGCAGTGGGGGCCACCTACTGAATCACTGCCCAGCTCCGGCAGCTCCTGGCTCGCTCCAGAGGTCTCACAGCCAGTGCAGCAGGCCCCAGCCTGTTGGGGCTGGCTGATCTAAGGAGATCACAGCCGGGGCCAGGGGTGATATGGCCGCAGGCCATCATCTTACATAAACCCCATACATTTGCATAATGTGTTTTACAAGATTAAAACTGAAGAAACTTTTTTTTTTTTTTTTTAAGGGGAAAAATAGGTGAAAGAGCTCCACACAAATGTGATATCAGAAACTTATGATTCCCAAAATGATTGTGTCAGTAATTGGGTTTGAAATGATTTCACATCAAATTTGCAACTCTATCATTATGTGCCTGGGGAAAACAACCCGGAGGTAGGACCATAAACAGAAAGTGAGCATTGGACCAGTGATGGGGAAACTCATCCCTTTTGAAGAAGCTGTTTCTTCAAACCTGTAGGGTGCCACACATAGAAGAGAAAACCCTCCTTCCACAGCAGGGCTGTGGCATGGAGAGGGTTGCCAAAGCTTGTCAAGTCACAAACCCAAGGCGTTCTTACTTTGTTTAATTACAGTGGGTGACTCGGATGCTAATGCAGAGGTCAGTAAATGGTGTATGATCTCCAGAAACACCTTACTCGAAGAAGTGGCCAGTGCTAGCTCACTGGGAGTGAGTGGTTTTGTGCAAAGGCCACTGCATGGATCAGTCTGCTGATGACTTGTTGCCCAGCTGCAAGTGTCTCCTGCGCTGGGTTTACTGCATGCCATAGGGGCTAATCCAACACAAGGTGTTTAGTGGAAAAATATGCAGAGGTGAGGGGGGCATAAAAACCAGGAAACTGCAAGTCTTGGACATCGTCTCTGCTGTGATGCATTAGGAAATGTTGGTTGGTGCTTGTGAAAGTCTGATAAATACCCCAGAGTGTAGCTGTGGCCATGGACATTCTTAAGTACAGCTGCTGCATCCAAAGAAAGTAGAGCAGAGAAATTTGCCACTTGGAAAGGGTGGAAGGCAAGACATGTCTCTCCTGGCTGGTTGTAAATGTGGAGTTGGACACTCAACCATCTGCTCCCCTTAAAGTGTGAAACTTAGGGGTATGGGGCTCCCAGGCTGTGGTAGGGCAGATACTCAGCTCTCTCCCTGGAATGGTGTGGCCAGGCTAGGCAGCAAAGCTGGCTGGAAGTTGTTTTCAGCTGTTGCTTAAGGAACTGGCTATGATTTTAATAGCTGGTTTAACTGAACCAACCAAATTGCTTCCAGCATAGCTCTGTCCTTGAAGGTGATGAAGAGACTTGAACGAGAGGCAGTATTGGGTTTCCCGAGAGGCTTTGTTTTAGCAGGGCTTGGTTTACTAATCCCTCACTCAACCACTCCCTGCAGGACTCCCAAAGTTGTGGTCTTAGGCTTTTCCCTAGGCCTTGGCAATGGTGTCCGTGGCTATGCCCATGTACATGGGTGTATTCATATCTCTATGCAGAGGAAAAGGCAGTGGCAGCTGCTTGCTCTGGATGCAGGAGGTATAAACTTGTGTCTTCTTGTTACAGTGAGCTACATCTGAAGTATCTATGGTCAGGTTGAGCACGTATTTAGGGCCCCTAACTGTTACGGAAATAAATAGCAATGAAATACCTGAGCACTTTGCAGATCAAGAAGACAAAGCAGTAGCTGCTTGCCATAGGAGAGTTGTGAAGGGTGTGAATGGGCCTGTGCTGTGGTCCCGAGGTCAAAGTGCTATGGACAGGAAATATGTACTGTTAGCGTGGATACTGTAAAGTACAAAGAATAAGGCTTGTATCTGGTGGAAGAAAAACTCCACTTTTTATCTGTCTATTTCTTTCTTCTCCTCTCCCCTTTCACATCTCGTGAAATAAGACTGAAAATTACAAGTCAAAGAGAGGGAGGAAATCTCCTGCCGTGTACCAAGGTGTTAACTTGGAAATGGGAAAAAAGCGAAGAAGCATATTGAGAGAGAGGATTGCATGAAGGAGTAGCTCCATGTCTGGGCTAATATGGCTTGTTTAACTTGCAACACTCTGTATATATGTTTTTCTGCTTCTTTCCTCACATTCTGCCCTAGGTTTTATTTACTTGTCTTTTGAAGTATGTCCCTATAGAGATCCAGGATGGGCTTGTGTGACTGTACTGCTGTTATCAGGATGATACAAGAAAAGCTGACTTTTCTTGTTGCTCCTACATGCAGTTCCCTAAATATGGCCTGGATCAGTGCGTGTTTAGGGGTGTTAGCACACCTTCCACCCAGGTGGAAATGGTTACTACATGATGTGCTGGAGTTGGGATGTTGTGGAATGTCCTCTCTTGGGACCTTAATGAGCCACATTACAATAACAAGTCAAGCAAGCCAACCTGTGCTGTTGCTGCTGGGTGTGAGAGCTGATTCCTAGAGCTGGTGATTTGATGTCTGGCTGTTGAAAATCTGTTGACTTTTGTGTCCTGCATTGATTTCTGAGGCTTGAAAAACCATCATGTACAGGCAGCTCTAGGACTGTGTCCCAAGTACTTTGTAGACAACAAAAGTTGTGGTTTCAAGCTTATCCAAAAGAAAAGTTTGAAGGAAAGAAGGTTCTTTGTGTCTCAGAAAGAAACATAAAAACTGATGGAACCTGAACTGGGCAAATAATGGAAAGTGCTAAACTTCTTTCTCTCCTCTTCTTGTTTGAATTACTACAAAAGGTGAGTGCTCCCTCTGGCACGTGCTGGCTGACCTTTATAGTACAAGGGAAAGGTGTCAAAGAATGTACATCCTCCTGAAGGATATGTACCTACCCTCCCCCTCCTCCCCCCCCGAGGCCCAGCCTCTTTCTCCCATCAGAGTTAATATCCAGAGCCACCAGGCAGGTAGGAAATTGCATCCCTGAGGAGGGAAGAAGCTGAGGGCAAAACGCACAGCTGCTCTTCCAGGCTGTGCCGATGGCAGCCTGGCTGTAGTGGGACTGTTGCAGGGCTTGCCGAGGGATGACTTCCACAGTATTTTCCAGCACAAGGAGCATGTGAGCATTTCTGGTGAGTCACTGCTGGGCTAGAATACTGCCTGGGTTGAACCATTCTGTAAGCCTCTGTAAATATAGAGGTTATTCTTCCTGTTACCTCTCTTAGAAGCACTAACTTATTGTGACAGTGATGCTGCTGGCTGCTGCTATTAATCCAGCCTTCCTGGAGATGCAGAAATTGTGCTGTATCTGGCTGGGGTGAGATGTGCAGTCAGATTAATCCCTGCTCTGTACTGAGCTGCTCTGAGTCACGTCAAAATGCAGTAACACTCGTGTTCAAGGGTTACAAACTGGGGAGGGATGTGACTGGGAGCCCCTTTTTGATTGCATACCACATCACCTTATGATACAAGAGGGTCACTTGTCTTGCTACACCTTTGACTTTTCTATGCAGTCATGCATTTCTGATCCATGCTTCAACTTCCTGCCTCTTCAATGCAGCCCTTATCCAGCCCTTAGCATCTTGGCAGTTTTACCACAGGACAGCTTCTCATCCTCAGAGATGTGTGCTGGGTAGAATGCTGCTTTTCCGGGTGTGCTTTGTGTTAAGGGATAGAAAGAACCAGTTGGAAGCTTGTGCCTTGTTCTTGCTCTCCCAGTAATGGTGGAACCAGGACACTGTGCTCCCTGAACCACATCCCTCCATGCTCTGTCCTTAGCTGAATGTTGTTCCCTGCCTTTGTCGGGAGAACACAGCCATATGTGCAGCAGGCCGGTGTCCTGCCTCCTCCTTGAAGCACCGGTGCGGTTTCTCATGTGCCATGACCGTGAGCTCATTAATGGCAGCCCCACATGTGATTATTTCCACACGCTCCTCATCAAAACAGACGTTCCTTCCGCATGAGGTCCTTTTCCAGCTCTCGGCATTGAGGGCGGTTGGGATGGGGGTGTGTGTGTGGGGAACTCTCTTGCTGCAAGCCTACATGGATATACAGGCATGTAGGTGCAGTCTGGTCTTCAAAGCAAAGAGTAAGGAGCAAGTTCTGATAGATTCAGCTATAATTTCCTTTCCAGTCTGAGATTCTCTCATTGAAGAGACTAAAGCTTCTTGTGTGGCTTCTCAAAGCCTGTACTGCACTTGCTGTATGGGGTGTCCATGCCTG